GGGGGTGGGGTATGCTCCCAAGAAACTTTACTCTCTTGTCTGAAATGTGTAGAAATTTAGGGGAGACAAATTTAAGAGTTAGAAACTCTCCATTCTATGAACTGTAGGGGAAGGAAGTTAACTAATATTGCTGAGCAAAAATGTACCAAGCCCCTTCCTGTCCTACTGCATTCCACGTCCTAACCTTTCCAAACAGGTAGTAGTATCTCCATTTTGCAGATAGGGAGCCGGGGCTCAGAGAGGTTGGGTAACTCACTCAAGGTCATACAGCTGGTAAATACCAGAGCCCCAGAGATCCTGGTCATCTGATTCCAAGTCTAACTCCACTGTCTTGGGATGCAGCCCTTGGAAAGAGCAGTGTGGGTGGGATTGCAGGGGTGTGGTGGGGGTGGAGGACTGGGTGGCAGGGGGAGTGCCAGAATTGTGACCTTGGTTTCAGAAAGACTGGGGGGGGGCAAATGTGCAGCTGGGAAGTTGATCTCAAACCTCTGGGTTTGAGGTTCTTGGAGCCAGTACAGTGGGACTGAAGACCCCAAGTCTGCAGGATCTTGGCTGAGGGTTCTCAGGGGTGAAGGCTGTTAAAAGAATGCAGCCAAGTAAATTTGGAGATCTAATAGGCATTATTAAGTGACTCGTAATTCAGGCAGCAACACATCTAGCAAGTAGAAAGGCGCTCTAAGGAGCTGTACAAAAAAGGAGGATTTTATAGGAAGGAGGGTGGGGCAAGGAAGTTATTAGCAAAAGAAAGGATTATTTCAGGCAAGGTCACTTTCCCTTAGGGGAAAGAGCAGGGGGTCTTACCATGCAAATTACCTCATCTTCCTTTGGCGGGGGAGGGGGGGATGGATAGTCTGCTTGTCAGATTGGCTCACTGGTGCTGGCCTTTATTCCTGACGGTTAAAACTACATTTCTGGGGGAAGTTGAAACCACAGTTAGGTTGGTTATAAGCCTTGGTTTGGCGATGTAGCCTAGGATAAGTGACTCCATTTTGGGTCTATGATTTTTCTTTTCTTTTCTTTTTTTTTAATTTATTTTATTTTTTAAAGATTTTATTTATTTGACACAGACACAGCGAGAGAGGGAACACAAGCAGGGGGAGCGGGAGAGGGAGAAGCAGGCTTCCCGCGGAGTAGGGAGCCCGATGCGGGGCTCGATTCCGCATCGGGACCTGAGCCTAAGGCAATTGCTCAACGACTGAGCCACCCAGGCACCCCAGTGGTTTTCTTTTCGACAAGGCCTTGTGGCTGGGGCCAAGGGTGGAGGTTGGAGTCCTGGACTGAGGCCCAGTTTTTAGGATCCCCAGTTCCAAGAGCTTGAGTCTGAGGGTCCTGGAGTCCAAAGTCTCCCACTGTGGGGTTCAATTCTGAGGACCCAGCTCTTAGATTCTTGGGTCTGAAAAGCCAGGATCAAGGGTTCAGTAAAACCTGAATCTTACGGGGTGGTTTTAGAAAGTTTCTGGGTCTGCAGGGGTTCGACTGAGGGTCTCATCTTGAAGGTCCCTTTTCTGGGTCTTAGGGTCCTTGGGCCCGGGAGGCCTGGGTGAGAAAGGTCCAGCTGTAAAAGTCTCAAGTCTGGCAGTCCCGGCCGAAAGTGAAAAGCCCAACATTGCAAACCTTGGTTTGGCAATCTTTGGGCCTGAGGGTTCCTGGATTTCAGGGCTCAGGACGCCCTGTCTTCGGATCTGAGGCTCTCTAGACGTGGTGGCTTAGGGTGGAATGTCCCGGGTCTGAGGCTGGATGGTGAGGGTAGCGGGTCTGCGGGCGGCTGCGAGGAGCTTGGAAACGCTGGTCCCGGGCAGCGGCGCACGGGGTAGTGTGGCGCTAGGACCCCGCGGGAGGCGGCGGCGGGAAGGGCGGCCAGTGTTGACAGCGACGGCGGCGGGGAAGTCGGCGCTAGGACCCTGGGGGCGCGGCGGGTGGCGGCAGCGCGTGGGGCGGCGCGTGTTGACAGCGGCGGCGGTGGCGGCGGCGGCGGTGGCGGCGGCGGCGGAGCCGGGCGGCGGCGGGAGTCGGCGCCCCTGGTTCCTGCCCCTGGTGTCGAGGTGGTGGCGGACGGGCGTCCGGGGATGGCCTTCATGGAGAAGCCGCCGGCCGGCAAGGTGCTGCTGGACGACACGGTGCCGCTGACAGCAGCCATAGAGGCGAGCCAGAGCCTGCAGTCCCACACGGTGCGCGGCCCGCCGGTCGGGTGGGCGGCGCGGGGCGGCCCCGGGCCGCGAGAGGGCTTCGGGCGGCCCGGCGCTGGCCGGGCAGGGTCGCCGGGGCGGGGAGCGGGGCCGGGGGTCGGCGGCCCAGGCCGGGAGGGTAGTGCCGTGGTTGTGGCTCTGGGACAGGGGCCCCGGGGCCCAGGTGAACTCAGGTCTGCAGGGGCCGGGGGTGGGGATCGCAGTCCCGTGGGCCAAGCTGGAGGTGGGGCTCGGCGGTGCCGCTCCGAGTTGTAGGAGGTATTGGATTCCCGGGCCCACCTTGACCAGGCGGAGTAAAGGGAACATTCGGGACCCTCTCCTCCACTTCTGCCCGCCTCCAGCCTTCTCTTTGGGGCCGCTGAGTTTTACTCCCTTCAGCTGGGGATCTGAGTGGCGGCGATGTGGATGTGCCGGGCCAAAAGGAAGTAAGACTTTAGAGCCTACTTGTTGAGATAGCAGAGTGTAAGCGGCTGGGGTCTGCAGCCCCAGTTGCTGGGCAGCTGCTTGGCCTAGGCGCAGGGAAATGGTGAGGGAGGCAGTCTGGGGTCCTGCTGAGGCAGGTGTATGAGTGTGCTCCTTCCCTCCTCTAACCTGTTCTTTAGTGCGCAGTGGTACCATTCATTTGAGTTTAAAATACACTGGAGTAGCATAAAGGAGTAATAGGTCCTCATAGTAAACACAGGCAGAGTTCATTTCTGTTACCTATACTGTCTTTTATGGGTCTTTAAAACCAGGATTGTTTTCATTTGCCTGTACCTTTTTTTTTTTTTTTGAAAAGCACACTGTGCATTATAATTTACAAGCAATAAACCTAGGAACCAGCAGAAAAACAGGAGCTGCCAGCCAGGGGGACTTTGGGAAATAATGAATGAGGGGAGAGAGAGATTCCTTAAATTGTAATATTTTGTCAGGTCACCAAATCAGATTCCGGCTCAGAGGCTTGTTTGTTTACCATTGCAGTGTGTTTAGGATTCATCATCTGGAGGCTAAAGCCCCACAATAGCCTTCTGTTTCTCTTTTTGTTCAAGCTGTTCTGGTGACTTCAAAGAGATCTTTTATTCTGTTGTATTAAAGTGGGACTTTTTTGAACCTCAGTTTCCTCTTCCGACAGCCGTGCTTTGTAGGGTTTGGATTGTTCAAAGTGTTCATTTCCAGTTAGGAAAATGACTATATTTTTAAAAAATGTATTTTATTTTTTAGTTTATCTTTAATCCTGTTTTATAGACTTGGGAGAAGGCACTGTGTTGGACAGAATTTTTACCCTCTGTAATGTATACCTATGGGAGTATGGGTTAAAGGTTGAAATTTAGGGCAGGTGTTCAAGAATAAATTCTGCTATTAAATTAGATTTTTGACTTGACTTTTGGCAAATTTTCGGGGAGAGGGGTTGAGTCTTTTAGGTTTATTTTTTGCTGAAAGTAGAGAGATGCTTATAAATGGGCACAGATCACTTCTTCCAGGAAGCATTCCATGATGGCCACTGCCCCAAGCCCTGTGCTCACTTGCACCTTAACCTAGATCAGTTTATGAAGGAAGCATTTCATGATGGCCACTGTCCCAAGTCCATGCTCACTTCCACCTTAACCTAGATCAGTTTATTCTGAAATTATTTCTTTAGTTTTCCTCTCCTCCAGGTTATGAGAGGAGGACAGGTGCTTAATTTTGGGTCCCAGTCCTGGTGTCTGATAGGATTTCATATGTGTTTGTTGAATGAATAAACAAATTGCAACCTTACTTTGCCTCTCTTTTGTTTGTGTGAAACAGTAGTGGTGAGAATTGGAACAATGTGGCATCTGAAGTGCTAAGTTAAGGGGGTCAGCGCTTCAGCAAGGTAGTGAAAGATGTAATAGGATTCCATTTTTACTGCAGAGCTTTTCTTTAAGAAATAACATATTTTAGAGTACAGAATGGGAGTCCCTATAATGATAACTGATCACAAAAGACAGTGACTCACAGGAGACCCATAGAGGCAGATGTGAATGAGTAAAAAACACTGTAGCATTGTCTTGCGCAATTTTTGACTGTTCTGTGTTCTTGTCATTTTAGCTGTAGAATTGGAGACTGGGAAATGTTGCATCAGCCCTGAACTTTATTGAGAAAATCATATGCTGATGCAGACTTTCTGGATTATTAGCCCCTTATGAGTAAGTCCCTTTAAAACAGGAACTGTTGGAAGTTATTTTGGAAAGAAGTAGTTGTTAATGGTGGCAAATGGAAGAAAAGAGCATTGTTTTCTATTGGGAAAACTGAAGGTGGCTTTCCTACTTGTTAGCTGAAGGGAGGTGGTGTCCCAAAAGTCAGAGGGCAGTCCTCCCTCTGAAATGCTGAAAAATGGAAGTTGCTCCTTGTCTGTAGGATAGAAACATACAGAGAGAGTATATAGTAGACAGCCTTTGAGTTGGAAGGAGCAAGACTTTAATATAGTTTTGGGCAGGCACTTGCTAGTCTGTGACATTGGTTGGGCAAGTCACAAAAAGGTTAACTTTTTGATGTGTAGTTTGATGTTGTAAAGAGGGTAATAAGAGCCTGCTCTGCCTGCCTTCCAAGGTTGTTACAAAGATCAAATGAACTAGTCTTTATGAAGTATTCGTAAAGGGCATTTCTTTCTTCTTCCATCTACTCACTCCCTGGTGAAATAACATCCAAAGCGTTAAACCTGGTAAAGTGTTCTTATCCAGAGTTCCTTCCCTTATCAAGGTTGTTTACCTTTGGGAAACAGAATTTACAGCAGAAAATTTTAGGTTACATAGGATTTAAAATTTAGGGACTTGGAGGGGGGGATCTTCTGTGGCTTGGAAAACACAGATGCCAGGATGAAGGGGGCACAAGGTCACCACCAGAAAGGCATCAGCTAAATGATGAGAAACTGGAAGAGAGGGCACGGATTGGTAGATGATTCTGTTCCTGACTGTGGTCTGAATGATTTTATTTTCACTTTTATGGAGCACAATGAATTTGGCTTCAGGAAATACACCAGGCCTCTGCTGCAAGGAAATGAAACTTCCATAAAATCAGAAGGGACCATAGTTAGGGAGGATGCTTTCAGCCTGGGCTGGGAGGAAAGGGAAGGATTTTCCAAACAAAAGGAATTTGACTAAGAAGCCGTACAGGTGAATTGTGGGAAAGTTTGGGGGGACAAAGAGAAAACAAGGGAAATATGGATGTTCTTGGCGATGTGAAAGGGAAAACTTCTAAAAATCGATAGACTGAAAAAATGCTTACCTAGCTGAAATAGAAACCAGAGGAAACCAACAGTTTGGGAGAGGGTTGTTATCAAATATGCGTATCAGATTTTTGCTGGTCAATGTGCTGTAGTGTGCTAGTGCTTCATCTCGGTTTTCTCCTTTTAAAATACTCTTCTGTGAGGTTCATCTGAATCAAGGCCCATTTACTCTGCATTTGGTGCATTTTGTTCTTGAGAAACAAAAGATAATTTTAGTGATATTTGAGGCGTAACAACATTTTTTAAATCTGGGAAAGATAATATTACATGTTGAGATCTTTACTGAAAATGCGTCTGACTTTGACCTTTGATTTTTGGAAACTGTATTCCTGCACAGTTTATTTATTCAACAGTACTCATTAATTCGAGAAAAATGTGTTGTGTACCTACTGTGTGCCAGGCACATGCTGGAGATCTGGTGGTCTGCTAGATAACGCCTGCTCTCATTGAGCTTTTGTTCTATGGGATTCTGAGGTCTTCCATTTCCCAAGGTGTTGACAAGTCAGAGTCTTTACCTGTCATAACACAGGTGGTTTTGAAGTTCTTTTTGTGGCTTGGATTTTTGAGCCTCAGCTTTTTTAATCAGTGGCCTTTTTTATATAGTCTTTTAAACTCTATTCATATATCATCAGAATACCTATTCAAACGTGATGCCAAATTAGCAGACCTCATTGCCTTCAGAGCCTGACAGTTTAGGCAACCCAGTGCTCAATATCAGGATCTATCTGGGCTTCCTTTTGGGATGCTATTTGGAAGTTTCTTTAGAATTCCAAGTTATACTGACTACTTTAAAAAATTCCTTGAAGATATTTGCATAGGCAAATGCAGACCAAATGATAGTTCCTCATTTTATAATAAGATAATTAGTTTTCTTGAAATCTGCTTTTTTTTTTTAAAGATTTTATTTATTTGAGAGAGAGAGAATGAGAGATAGAGAGCACATGAGAGGGGGGAGGGCAGAGGGAGAAGCAGACTCCCTGCCGAGCAGGGAGCCTGATGTGGGACTCGATCCCGGGACTCCAGGATCATGACCTGAGCCGAAGGCAGTCGCTTAACCAACGGAGCCACCCAGGCACCCTGGTAATTAGTTAATTTAGAGATTGTAAGTAAACTGTACCTATTGAAGTCAATTTTTTTGCAGCCTGATTTAGGGGCTGGTGATTTTTTTTTTTTTTTTTTTTTTGAGAGAGAGAGCGTGCAAGTGGGGAGGGGTAGAGGCAGAGAGAGAGAGAACCTTAAGCAGGCTTCACGCCCAGCACAGAGCCTGATCTCACAACCCTGAGATTACGCCTTGAGCCGAAATCAAGAATTAGATGCTCAACTGACTGAGCCACCCAGGTGCCCCTGGGGCTGGTGATTCTTAATCCTCATTTATCACCTCTTTTGAGGATTATCCCCCTAGGAAGATTTCTTGTAGTAGGAATACAAATAAGAAGCTGGCTGTAGTTACTTGGAAGAAACATAGGATTCTGGGGCTGAAGTTTATTTTAGGAGAAAAGATCTTACGTGTTTTGCTCCTTAGGGGAATATTGTAAATATTCACCTGTGTGTATACAGCTTCCATGTATTTGTGATCTTAATGAGATTGTTCAAAATATAGATTGTTGATTGATGGTCTAAGTGGGTTCATTTGGGCCAACCAGAACAAACCTGTTTTCTACTGAGGCAGATAGTGGTTCCTTTTCAAGCCTCTGGAGGTTTCTAAGCAGCTTCACATGAAATGAGGCTCCTTTATGTCCCAGCTTTTGGCATCCTGAAA